CAAGCTTGTGAAGGAGGAAGATGAAGATGGCAATCATGGTAGGCTAATGTATTCTTTATTTTTCTTAACCAGCCGTGTTACCGGCACTGTTCAGAAAACAATTTACCGTACGCATTTGTGTATGTTACCGGTACAATAGCTCTTGTTACAACGTGGTCACACATATCTTAAGACAAGCGCCGCCTATATATGTACAAAAATATTTTTTAATTTAGTGGGCGCGGCGTATATTCAGGTGAGCTCAATAATCCAGAAGTTTGTAACAAGCAAGCTTGAATTGTGCTATAAATTGCATTTGCGGCATTTTTTTTTTAGCGTTTTTGCTTCATGCAGCAATAATAGGATGAGAAAATCACATTTATTTTTCCATCAATGAAGTAGTTCAACACTTTACTGCTTTCACTTCTTAATTTTTATGTAAAAAAGTTTCCAAACTGTTACAATATAAGAAACCATTGACAGTTACAGAACCAACCCATTAGCCATCCAAAGACAGGCGCTTTGAGAACACGTCATCATTTTTATATCCACTGTTACACATTTTAAACGTACAATAAAAAAGGAAAACTTACAGTAGAAAAGCTTTAGTATTTGATAGATACCATTATTGGTCACCATAGACTTTACGTAGACAAAGAAATGGTAATAATTCAGGACAGTGTTCCCCTCTTTAATCAGCCTGACTGCTTCCTTTAAATAACACTTTCTCATCCAGACACCAAACAATATATTTCCTTCATACAAAAATACTAATTGTAATGCCACTCTAATTGTTTTTCCCCTTCCAAGAGTCACAGTTACCCCTCTGTATGGCTCGGTCATACAGAAATACAAAATCTGTTAAACACCTCAAACACAAAAAAATGTCCCTGAACCCTAAGCTGTTAAGTTTAAAGACGTGAAAAAATATAAATTATTGCAGCTGAAATGTGTAACTCTGGGATTTAAGAGAAGCTCTGTTGTCTTACAGCAGCATATTATTATAAACGTTTTGGTCTAAAGTCGTCATTCACAGCATAGTTCCCACCGCAGTCAAGTTTGAAAATGAGAAATTTCAGGAAACAGCCCGGAGATAAAGAAACTAAAATCATTGTACTGTAGTTGTTTCGTTACGCCAGCGCTGCTTCAAAATAAAACCTACGCAGTGATTTATTTGCCCAGTACGGTGGCCAGCAGGGCCATTCTGATGTACATGCCGTTCTCCGCCTGACGGAAGTACGCCGCCCTGGGGTCCGTATCCACCTCCGGACTGAGAGAAGAATAAAAATAAATAAATAAATAAATTAGGGGGAAAAAAAATCAAGTTATTATAGGTGACAATTTATGTGATTTAAAAGTACAATGTTCAAGGTTCTTTATTATCATTCACATCACGTGTGGTACATGAGGTGGAATGAAATCAAGTACTCGGGGTCCCAGTTACACCCAAAATAGCAGAAATATAAAGTATATAAAGAAACAGTATACAATAAGATATACGCTAAACAAAACGCTAAAAGATCTAAGATATATGCTAAACACTAACAATTTAAAACCTACAGAAAATAAAAATTTTATATGTCATATTTGAAAAACTGTTTTATCATGCGATATGTCTCTCCTACCTTATTTCGTTGACTCTGGGCATTGGGTGCATCACCACCATCTTCTGTTTGGCCACAGTCATGATGTGAGGAGTGAGGATGAACTGACCAAAACACTGACGGAGACAATTAAAGATCTGTGTAAGCCTCCTGCTTCAGGTTTGTGTATTATAAATAAAACGACCAATGAGTGACTGCAAAGGCCAAAGGAAAAGTTTACAAGACAGTGTCGAGACCAGCTATGTTGTATGATCTGGAGACAGAGACATGGACAAAAAGACAGGAGACAGAACTGGAAGTGGCAGAAATGAAGATGATGAGGTTCTTCTTAGGAGTGACAAGGATGGAGAAGATTAGGAATGAGATCATCAGAGGTACAGCACAGGTTGAACAAGTTAGAGAGGACACAGATGGTTTGGACATGTCCAGAGGAGGGACAGTGGTTTGGACATGTCCAGAGGAGGGACAGTGGGTATATTGGTGGAAGGATGTTAGAGATGCAGCTGCCAGGAAAAAGACAAAGAGGAGATATATGGATGCAGTTAGAGAGGACATGGAGGTAAATGGAGTGAGGACAGAGTGAGATGGAGGACGATGTGTGAGGCTGCGGAGACCCCTAAAGAGGGAGAAGCCGAAGAAGAAGATTGTATTTGTAATTTACAAAAATGGAAAATCATTTTTAGCATTTAGCAGGTAAAAAGTTAGTAGTTTCAAATAAAAAAGGTACAATTAATTCCCCATTGGGGATTAATAGAGTACAAAACAAAAAACTGACTCTTCCTCTCAGCACGTAGCTGTAGGAGCAGCTGAGTGACGTACCGCATGGTCCTAGTGCCTGACCCGTTTGTTTAAACTACGCCACACAAAATTTAAAGTGGTGGAGACATTTTATTTAATAATATTACCAAACAAAATGCATAAAACAGTTTTGGGAGGCTCGTGAGACAGTTTCTAACTTGAGGAAAAATCTTGTGTTTTAATCGTGAGATGTCAAACTACGCACTCTCTTTACACCCCCAGTTTCCAAGTATTTAATTTAGTTAAAAGTTATGAATAAAATCAAACTTACAGCCTTGTACTCCTTCTCAGATCCAAACCTCTCCTTCTGGATCCTCGTCATGTAAAGGACGTCTGTTTCAGGAAGAGCCTCCTCAATACTGTCAAACTCTTCCTGCCAATAAAAAATAATAATTGTTTAGTTACTAAGATTTCAGCAGGGTACGTCTTTCTGTGCAGCACCGTAGAGTTCCCACCTGTTTGATTCCCTTTGAGGCCACGAAGCTGATGATCTCAGCTGGCATGTGGAGGTTTTTGGGCGCCACGTAGCGCAGGGTGATGCGGTACTGGGTCAGCAGTTTGGCAAGAGAGTGAACCGTGCGGCCATGTTTCAGATCCCCAACCATTGTAATCTGAATGGAGGAGGAAAAACTAAATATTTGAGTTGGGTTTCAGCAAGCTGTGAGGTCAAGGTTTATACTCGCGGTCTCTCACCGTCATGCCGTTGACCGTCCCGAGTTCCTCTCTGATGGTGAAGACGTCCAGCAGGGCCTGGGTTGGATGTTCCCCGACGCCGTCGCCTGCATTGATCACCGGCTTACGGCAGTGACGGGATGCGCTCTGTGTGCCACACGGGGAAATATTAATATTATTTAACTGGCTCACAGGTGATCAGTAAACTCATGCAATGAGCACAGCATCAATTTAAGGTTTTAGTCCAGTTCTCGTTAGCACACAGGTTCTGTTTGAGAACTATCGGGTCGGTCCTGATGCATTTTACACTTGCACTAGTCACGTTTATGTTTTCAAAAGTTCAGTTAAGCAAATTCATCATTCCTGTTCAGATTTGGTGTTTAAGTTCGAGTTTTGAGGCTTTAAAAAAAAAAGTAGTCTCTTCTGTTTGAAAAGTCCCATTAAAAATGTTATAAGAAGTTTTCAGTACAGAATGGGGATTTACTCGAAACCTGGAGTCTAAATGCTAAAAAAAAAAAAAAAGTACAAAATACTACAAACTTAAAAATGACTTGATACAAATTTAAAATATCTTTACTGAATTTACCTTAAACTTAATTTATTGGATGGAAAAACAAAAAACTGCTTTAATAGAAATTATATTTTATGGATGCACAATACATCTAAGAATTATATTAAATTGTATCAAGATTTTAAAGATGTTTTTTTATGTTTGATATATTTTTACCTCAACAAAGCTTTGTTTTGATATACAGTAATCCCTCGCTACTTTGCGGTTCGTTTGTCGTGGACTCGCTCTATCGCGGTTTTTCAAAATAAGAGTGGACATGACACAATTGGCTGATTGATGTATTTAGAATAAATTATTTTTAATTATTTAGCCTCTGCTGCACATTTGTGCAGCCCAGAGCAGCAGGATAAACTTCCTCCTGCAGCTGATCAGCTGATCAGCTGAGAAGTGGGCGTGGCCCAGAACACTTGCCGGTGGCAAAGAGCAGAGGAGGCAGGGAGCTGAAATCATGACATTCTGTGCTCTTTTAGAGCGTTGAGTTTAGAAACATTGTTTAGAATATTGGAAGAGTGTGGGAAGGGTTTGAAACGCCTTAATATATATTTATATATAAATAATAAAATAAACTACTTACTACTTGTACTACTGTTAGATATTTCTAGATTGGTCCTATGGTTTTGATCTGATTATAATGATTCCTACTTCGCAGTTTTTCCACTTATCGCGGGTCTTCAGGGAACGGATCCCCTGCGATAAACGAGGGACTCATGTCTTCTGTTTCTTTGATGTTTAAGATCAAACACTTTTCACGTGAATATACGGTACTTGAAACCATATTTTCGTAATGACGGTGGAGTAAAAAGTTGTTCAGTGGATTTGCTGCATTTCTAAACTCGAGCACATAAATTAACTTTATTTAGACGCTGCAGAACGCTGCCAACCTGAGACCCACCTCGACAGCTCCAGGCGTCGGGTGTCGAAGAACCAGGACGTCGGTGTAGCAGCTCATGGTCTGAACGGAGTCCGTCAGAGATTCTCCTTTCTGCGAGGACGACGTGGACTCGCTGAAGTGGACAACCGAGCCGCCCAGACGCTGCATGGCTGCTGCGAAGGAGCTGCTGGTGCGAGTGCTGACCTCATAGAACATGGACGCCATCACTTTACCCTGGACAGAATGAGCTGGAGGTTAAACAGAAGCACTTTGAAAAGTAAACTACAAAAGACCAGGGTTGCGGTCACGAACTGTACCGACCAGATAAAAAGTCATTAAGGGGTCAGCTGAGCATGCGTTCCAGAAATGAAGGAAAAACTTGGGAGATACCTTCAAGATTTCGACGCTTCGTTCCTTCTGAACCATCAAACGCAGAGTGTGGGCGACATTAAAAAGGTGTGAGATCTGAAACATAAAGTGCAGAAATGTTATAATTTAAAGTAAATGGACCTTTCTGTGGCTCTGCGGGTTTAACTTTGCGGCCATTATTGTGAAGCACCTGCTCTTTGCTAAACTGGCGGACGGTCAGGATGTGCTGTCCCACCAGCGGGTGCAGCAGAGGAGACATCTGTAAATGTGACACCTGGGACGGAGCCGTCAGTCTGGGCTCGGACAGAGGAGACAGCAGCCTGGACAGTGGTGGAGGATGGCTGTAACCGTCACCGGCGCTGGCTAGTGGGAGCATGGTCATTTCTACAAGAATGAGAGTCACACGGTGGAGATTATTTAATGTAATAAAAGCAATAAAGCATTTCGTCATGATCATCTCTTAATAAAGCATTACGAGTTGTAGTACCTGGGGGCAGTCCGGGATCAGAGGAGCGGTGGGTGCGAGGCGGCAGCAGAAAACGGGACTCTCCAGTAGAGCGACGAGGACTTGGAGGTCGAGTTCGGACGTGGCCCTCGCGAGGAGGAGTTGGTCGCGCTCGCTCCGGAGACTGGTTTAAAAACACAAGCAACAAGAAATAAGCCCCGGCTGGAGCTAAATGATGACGTTAGATCTCTGGATTTTAGTACCACTGGGGGTTCTTTCACAGGTTCAGCAGGAGGGATCAGGGGTGTGGACCAAGTCTTCACATCTTCACCATAACCAGGAGGTACCAACACCTACAGGAGACAGATTTGTAAGATTTCTCCTACAATAGCTTTAAACAAAGATGCATCAGATGTGGATCAGAGTGCTGACCTGGCCGTCGATGTAGGCCACCTCTCCTCGGAGGACCACACGGCGGACTTTACCCTTCACCTTCATGCCTTGGAAAGGTGTCCACTTGGATTTGGTGAACTGCATGGCCTGAGGAATAACCCACTCCTGCTCCAGATCCACCTGAACAAACAGAATTGTGTGAATCGGGGCAGTGCCATATCAAGACTGCCATAACTTTTTTTTAAAAGTAAAATGTTGTTTTGACATTTGTACCTCCACGTAGGTGTTTTCCTGGACAGGCAGGTTAAAAATCTTGCGTGGGTTGTCATAAAGACGTTTGATAATATCATCCAGAGTCAGACGTCCATCGCTGACAGCGGTCAGGAGCAACGGCAGCATCGTTTCCAGGCCGGGGTAACCGGGAGGAGGACGTACAGAGTTCTTCTCCTCTGCAGAGTGAGGAGCTAAACAGGAAGAATTCCCGAATGAAGCTGGTTCCTTCACCAGATAACTGAAAATGTGCGCTCACCAACCGTGGTCCGTAGAGAAGCAGTCGATAACGTCCAGGTTTTCCCAGAGTGCTTCCATGTCTTCAAGGGTTCCTAACATGGGTCGAACCTGCGCCCGTCCCTCACCGATATCCGAGACGTTGTCCTCACACAGGAAGAGATGATGAGGAGCCACCTCGCACGTCACCTGGATGCCCTTCTGCTTAGCTGCTCGGATTATCAAGATCTGGCACGAGTATAAAAAAGTGACTACAAAATAAAACAAACAGATTTGATTTACAAAAAAAACAACAACAAGGGTTCTTTACCTCCTCCTTTTTGGCCACGTGGCAGATGTGAACCGGCCGCTGGTAGAGCTGAGCCACCATCAGAATCGCAGCCACCGTCTGCTTCTCGGCGTGAGCCACAATGGGCATCTGCTTGGGCCACTTCTCAAAGTGCTTTAAAACAAACGCAGCTGGGTTGGTTGGAGGTCCCATAATGATCAGAAGTTTTATTTCCATGGTAAAGTAAGAACTTGTTCCATTACTGTAATAACTGGGGAAAATATTGAGATTTATGCAACAAAGTAACCAATATGCAGGTACTAAACACTAAGTACCGGTAGTATTTTGCACAGCAGCTGTGGCTGAGTGGTTAGAGCAATCATCCTCCAATGCTAGAGTTGGGAGTTCGATTCCACCAGCAGTCACATGCTGAAGTGTCTCTGGGCAAGACACTGAACCCCTCATTGCCTCCGATGTGTGTCCCATCAGTGTATGAATGTGATAAAACACTGATTAATCTTTGTACAGATCTAGTATAGAGCTGTATGAACGGGTAAATGAGGCACAGATTGTTGTAGAGCTTTGAGTGTCTCGATAAGATAGAAAAGAGCTGTACAAGTACAGTCCGTTTACCATTTATTTTAGAGCACTGCAAACTTTTTACTTCGTTTTACTTTTATTCTGTATTCATCATTAGAAAGATGATGTGATGCATCATTTTTGGAAAATGATTAGCAACTTATCAATTGTATGGGAACTGTTTTATTGCAATATTCATGGTATGGTGAGCTATAGTCATCCACTTCATCACATTGTGAGAAACTGTGAATCATAACCCTGGCATTGTTAAAAAACTATATTTACATAAAAGACTGGTTTTCTTTTGCTTTAGAACAGGGCCGGCCTAAGGCATAAGCAAACTAAGTGGCTGCTTAGTCCCGGGGGCCACTAGGGGGCCCCCTAAGTGGAATTTAAAATTTTTTAGTAATAATTTTTATATGATTATATTTGCAAATTGTTGCATACAACAATAAGAACTAATTATTCATTTTTTACAATTCTTTTTAAACCATTTTACGTGGTTTCAAGTAATTCATTCAAGTATTTCCTTGATATTTTATTATTATTTTTTTTAAATGTCTGTTTTTGCACAATTTAATTTATTTTTATGCATCTAAGTTATTTTATCAGTTGTTTGTTGTTGATCTTGCACTACAAATTATTTTGAACATTACGCCTGCAGTTCTTTGGAGCCAAAGATAATAAACCAGATGACACTTTAGCTGTAAAATACATTGCGTACTGGTGTTTTATCGTTTTACTTTTTGTACCACTATGATATATACATATAGGATAATGTCAACAGTATCAGCTCATTCAAGCTCATTACAAAATGCAAATATTTGCGAATATAATCATAAAAATTATTACTAAAAAAATTTAAATTCCACCTAGGGGGCCCTCTAGTGGCCCCGGGGCCCTAAGCAGCCACTTGGTTTGCTTATGCCTTGGGCCGGCCCTACTTTAGAATAATGCTAAGACTTTAAGAGCCTTTCAGAAGTTCCCCTCAGAAACTGGGTGTGCAAAAGATTGGCTGTAATATAAAAAATGAAATAAAAAAATGCTTTTTAAAAATAGAAATGAATTTCTTTGCGTTTGTGATGATTTATAAAAACGTATTATTTAATGCAAACCTCCATCCAGAGAGAGACGTTGTCCATTTTGAGCGTGGAGTACGTGTCGTTCAGGTACATCTTCAAGCCGGCGGTCTGGGTGGCGATGGACGCCAGGGTGGCGGCGTTGTCGGAAGCAGCGCCCACATACAGAGCGTAGTCACAGCGGCAGCCAGCTTTGGCCAACTGGTGACGACAAATACTTATGATTACGTTTTCATATCTCAGACTGACACGAAGATTGTTCTAAAACGTGTACCTTCTGTACGAGTGTCAGAGTGTTGACGTCCGTGATGGCGGGAGATGTGTTGGGCATCGCACACACCAGAGTCACGCCTCCTGCCAGAGCGGCGGCGGTCCCAGAGGAGAAATCCTCCTTGTAGGTGGCGCCCGGCTCCCGCAGATGAACATGGACGTCGATCAGACCTGAAATCGAGTCGACCCATATACTAAAGATACAGCAAGTGTGATTTCGTGTTTATCTTTATCCTACGTACTACTAACTACTTAAAAAACCCTTTTACTTCCTTCTGAAGAGTTTGAGAATTAAATGTAAACATTTAAAATGTGTAAAAACTTATTGAACCTCCTGTGCAGTCAATGGTTTTATTTTATTTTAGACGAGACAACTCACCAGGCAGACGGACGAGCGTCTGAGACGTCATGCTGTCGATGTGAGTTTTCACCGGTGGAGCTCTACCAATCTGACGAAGAGCCTGCAAACACGTTCCTCCATAAAACTCGGCATCCACACCTGGCATCACTGTCACCATCGGCACATTTTAGGAAACGATAATCGTCACGTTCTTGATACATTTTAAGTATCAGTTCCTGCCCAAACATCATAAATGTCCTGGTTCTTTTCTGAAGGCTGCAAGGGAACAACTCAACTCTCCTCTGATGATGTTTATTTTACTTTTGTGCTTCTCGCATCAGCAGCAGAACTTTATGATGCAACATTATAAGCAGCAGGAGCGGTTAATATCAGTAGTAGGTTGAAAACCTTCAAATAAGCAACAAATAAAACATTCCAGCAACCGCTGAATTGTTTGTCAAAAATCCTTCAAAAGTCAAATATTTCACACAAACTAAACTCTCTTACAGGAATCTGATATTATTTACAATTACTGATTTAAATTAAAAATAATATTCTGTTCCCATTACCGTCAAATAACTAAAATAATTTACTCCCTAAACACTAAAACAATTCCCAAATTACCACAATCTACTCAAAAGAATTTAGCGCTGTTAGGACAATGACGTCACAATGTCCTCGTTCATTTGTCCTACCGTTGACGTCTTCAGTCCGTTGTACCGTGAGTTTTTTTTTTAACCGCACGCTGAAAAGGATCTGCTCAAACTTCCCTCCTCTTATGTCTTGATTGCTCACTTTAAATTAACGGCACATGGAGCACCCGGCGCGTCGCCCATTCAAATCTGCGCTCATGCTACGTCATTGTTTTTGTGCCAGCTGGATTATGCTGTAAAGTCGGTCCTGAGACAACAATAATTTACCTGGACAAAGAGTTTGGTGCATTTGATGTCGATGATGAGTGGGACGGAGTAGTCGACGGCCATACGCCTGGTTCGGTAACCTTTGGTGACGAACGAGGACAGCCTTCGACCGCCGCTGTTCCTCATGGAGAGGTTGATGACCAGGTCGAAGTGGTTCTCCTCCAGGTAGTCCATGATGCTGCGCTGCCTCTCCTTGTTGGGACAATGGCTGTCCTCCTCCTCAAACGGCCAATCCACCGCCATCACCTGGAGACCAAGGAGTTTCAGGAAATGAGAATTAAGTTTTCTTTATTCACAAAATTATACAAAAATGACAAGTCAGTTACACCGCAGTGTGATATTATGAAGCCAGAACTAATACTTCAGAAGTTTTAAAAGCAACAACTCATGTTTTACTGCAAGGCACTAAAGTCAGGACTAAAAACTGAATTAAGCTTTTTAGTAATTTTTCAGCGTGGGTTGAAAAATTACGTGCCGCTCCAGTTCATACTGGCAGCTTTCATTCTACCAATATCTTTTTATATGTTATAAGAAATGTACAGTAGTTCCTCGTTTATCGCGGGGCCGTACCTTGAAGACCCACGATAAGTGAAAAACCGAGAAGTAGTAATAGTAGTACAAGTACTAAGTAGTAGTTTATTTTATTATTTATATATATATATTAAGGCATTTTAAACCCTTCCCACACTCTTGCAATATTCTAAACAATGTTTCTAAACTCTAAACGCTCTAAAGGAGCACAGAATGTCATGATTTCAGCTCCCTGCCTCCTCTGCTCTTTTCCACCTGCAAGCGCTCTTGGCCACACCCACTTCTCCGCTCTGCACGGAGAACAGCTGATCAGCTGCAGCAGGAAGTTGATCCTGCAGCAGTAAGAGCTGCACAAAGATGCAGCAGGTGCTAAATAATTTAAAGTAATTTACTTTAAATAATAATTTCATGCCGATCATGCGGCTCATCCATCAATCAGCCAGTTGTGCGTCATGTCCACTCTTATTTTGAAAAACCGCGATCGAGCGAGTCCGCGATAAACGAACTGCAAAGTAGCGAGGGCCTACTGTAACGGTGGAGCAGTTCGTAGAGCTGTTGCCTCTCAGCGAGAAGGTTGCTGGTTCAAATCCCAGCCTGGGACCTTTCTGGGTGTAGTTTTGCATGTTCTCTCTGTGCATGTGTGGGTTTTCTCCGGGTGCTCCAGTTTCCTCCCACAGACCAAAAACATGCTTGTTAGATTGACTGGTAACTCTCTCTCACTCCCAAGGTGAGAGAGAGAGAATGGTTGTTTGTCTCGTTTGTCTCCATGTGTCCCTGTGATGGACTGGAGACCTGTCCAGGTTGTCCCCTCTCGCTCAGTAATAGCTGGATATGGGCACCAGTGACCCCCGCGACCCACAAAGGAAGAAGCGGGTAATGGATGGATGTTATAAGAAAGGAATTAGAGAAGATGAAAGACATTTTAAGAGTTTCACCTTGACTCCATGTTCTGTGTAGAAGTCGGCAGTCCCCATGCTGGCATACAGGTCGTATCCCAGAGACTCCAGTGCCTGAACGGTGGGCAGCAGCTCGCTCTTGTTCTACACAAAGTCAAATCAAAACAATCCAGATCATCAATAAAAAATTTCCCCAATAATTTGTAGGTCAAATGTTTTTTATTTGGATGCAGCTTTATTGTGCTGCGTTTGGGATATTTACTTTGAATAAGTAGGCATCGTGCTTTAAAAAATAGAATATAAAAGCTGTATCACTGGGCACTTAAAGCTGTGAGAACAAATGATGCATTTTCTGTCTAGATGAATAATTGTGTCGACCATGAATCATCGTAGGTTTGTAAAAAATCTGCAGTGTTCATGAAAACATTTAACAAAAGCAGCTGCTACATTTTTACACTGGAATGTCTGATTTATTTCTGCCGGCTCGTTTATTCCTTATACGTTTGTTTAGATGTCAGTAAAATGTTGTCGTACTTTATAGCTGCCGATGGAGAGCAGGATGTTCTTTTTAGGGATCTTGAAGCCAGTGGAGAGCATGGCCTTGAGGTACGCTTCGTATCTGTTCTCCCCAAAACAGGCCACTTCTCCGGTGCTGGTCATCTCCACCCCGAGCACCACGTCGGCTCCGGCCAGCCGAGAGAAGGAGAACTGAGGAACCTGGAGGACGAGCGATATTCGATTAACGATAAACCATAAAGGAGTGAAGTGAAACAGAGAGCTTGAGTCAAAGTTCTCACCTTCACTCCCACAATCCCTTTTCCACTCATGAGACCGACCGTCTCCACTTCAACTCCCATGATGGCCTGCGTTGCCAGGGCAACAAGGTCGACTCCCAGCGTCTTGGATACAAAAGGGAAGGAGCGGGAAACTCGTACGTTGCATTCAATCACCTTCAGCTGGTCATCCTGGAAAGAAAATCATTATCACAACATTAATTTATGTTTTTTGCTTTTATTAATATGTTGAACCAAATCATCCTGTAGCTTCCAGATGCTCACATTAAAAAAAGGCCACATCTGTTATACATCATGTTCTTAGTTTCTATTTGAAATGAAACACACACTTTTATAATCATAAAACAATTTGTCAAACCATCAGACGGGAAGAGAAAGACAAGAATATTGTAAAGTTACAAGTAAACAATTCTGCTTCTGTAAATTTAGAGTTTAAAAATGTTGTTTGTATCCCAGTTGCTCATTTCGTTCACCATCTTTGAGTTGGTGTGATCAAAAAATTAGTGACAGGATTTTTTTAAAAGAGAATTCAAGTTCAAAGTTTATTTTTACATGGCCTGTTGACTGAAATAAAAATATAAAACAACAAGCGGTAAAATGGCCGCTGAGCAGCTTTTTCTTTTTTTTTAAGTGTTTTTTTTTGGGACTGGAATCGAACTGGGAACACAAGTAAACCTAAATGTTTTTTATTCAAGACATTCAAGTGGGTAGAAGTTACACTTTGTTTTTTCTTTTATTATTTTCTTGCTCGTCAGAGGCAGCAGTGACTGATCCTGGCGAGTGGAGGGTGACCAGGTGGGGGCCAATGGCCTCGACCACCACAGGTTAGTCTTGGGCCTCCCCAGTCATTTAAGGAAACTATATTTTTAAGAAACATAAAAACTAGAAAGCATAGTTTCTTCACATGATAGGGGTGATCAGTTTACATTAACACGTAGGGCGGCAGCCATCTTGGATTTTTTGCAGCAACCCAGTTTTCTAAAGGTACCTTTCTCTTATCTAGATGAAGCGTCACACCAAACATCTACATCTTGTGCCAGGAAAACAAACAAACACGTATGCTATTTTCTAATAATCCTTCAGCTAAAAAGTTGTAATTTTTAAACCCTCAGATGCCATCCTCATCACACTTGCACATTTTTTACACGGTTAGATGAATAAATTCCCGGACTGAAATATTTCTGTAAGTGCGATTAAAAGTCCAAATCGTTCTCACCTTGGCGATGAGCTGCAGGTTAAAGGGTCCGGTGACTTGCAGCTCCTGGCCGATAGCGTGAACGATCATCATGATCCTCTCAAGGGTTTTCTGATTGAGATCCTGAGGCGGCGTCACCAACGTGGCATCACCAGAATGAACACCGGCGTTCTCCACATGCTCAGAGATCGCAACTGCTATCACCACCCCGTCACAGGCGACTACATCTACGTCTATCTCCTGTGAAATACAAAAACGTTACAGACGCACCAAACTTTTCAAAGGTAGTCGATTACATTTATGGTGATTTAATCGTAACAATATTCATAAACGTTTAAAAAATTGGCGCGTAACTGATGCTCTAACTCACTTTGGCCTCCTGAATGAACTTGGAGATGACCACAGGATGCTCTTTGGACACAGCTACAGCACTGCTCAGGTATTTCTCCAGGTCACTGTCACCATAGGCGACGTTCATGGCAGCTCCGCTGAGAACGTAGGAGGGCCGGACCAAGCAGGGATACCCGACAGTCTCACAAAACTTCACCGCAGACTGCAGGAGGAAAAACCACAACCTAATGTAGAACTCTGTAATAAAGCACTACAGGGAAAACGAGCATCAACAAACCAGCGAGCCCCCCTCAAAAACTGCCCAGTCCCAGCTGGGACTTGAACCAGCGACCTTCTCACTGAGAGGCAGCAGCTCTTCCAACCGAGCCACCGTTCTAAACCTAGAATCAGCTAAATGGGCCCCACTCTGTACCTCGGTGTCGGAGAGCTCCTTCCACAGCGGCTGGCTGATGCCGATGGTGTCCAGCATTCTGGAGAACTTGAACCTGTTCTCCGCGCTGTCGATGAACTCGGGCGACGTTCCCAGGATGCGACACTGCTGACGATGCAACGACATGGCGATGTTGTTGGGCAGCTGCCCCCCCATAGAGAGGATCACCCCCTCTGGGTTTTCCTTTTCATAGATATCCATCACCACCTAAGACCGGCACAAACATATTTTTTAATCTCAGACTGAATAAAAAGGCTAAACAAACAAAAAGTTAAACTTTGTAGAAACAAAGTACCTCAAAGGAGATCTCGTCGAAGTAGAGACGATCACACATGTCGTAATCTGTACTGACCGTCTCAGGGTTGTAGTTCACCATGATGGTTTTATAACCCATCTGCAAATGATGTCACAAAACACAAACATCCAAATCTCTGATTCATTTGCTTCAACCACAAACGGTGCAAAAAAATGTTTAAAAAAATTCTTAGGACAAATACAGTATGATTTTTGATCATTAGATTAATTTGGCCAACAATATTGCATTTGCTGCTTTGATTTTGAGAAAAAACTATTTTCAAGCTAAAATAAATATTTTAGGTTTACATAACTGCACCAGTAGGATTCCTAAGAGTACCGTATTTTCTGCCGTACACGTCGCAGTGCCCTATAAGTCGCATCAGTCCAAATATGTCTAATAAAGTGGAAAAATCCATAAATATGTCACTCAGCCATATAAGTCACATCTATTATGCATCACCACCGACAATTAGGAAATGTGGGCCAGTGTTGTGCCAAAAATCGATTGGTTGCCAAATGGCGGCTGCAGGAGGACTTTAACAAGAATTTAACAAGATTAACACTTAAAAACAATTTTTTTGTTTGCTCGAAATTATAGTAAAGGTGTGTCTCAGTGCAACATTTCATTAATAAATGCACTTTTGATGGTCAAATCAGCTGCATTTCAAAACCAGATTTGTGGAAGCGGGCACGCGCAGAGGGACGAGTCCCTGTGCATTTCTTCGAAATTTAACAAGATAAACACCTAAAATCAATTTGTTAGCTCGACTTTATAGTAAAGGTGTGTCTCAGTTGAACTTTTACTTAATAAATGCACTTTGACGGTTAAATTCGCTGCATTTCGCCGGGGCGGCGCAGCGAAATGAAGCTGATTTGGTTGCTCCAGGCAGACAACGGTGTCAAGTCTTAGAGAAGCTGATTGTGTCATTAACAGCCACTTTTACCTATTACTTGATACAACAGCATGCCATACTACTCAAGCCTCACTACTCGAGTGACATCTAGTGGCTGAAAATTGTAGTGTTCGATATTTTCAGTCAGATTGAATGAAATCGGTCATGTTTCAGTCAAATTTGATTTATAAATATGGGAAAACATCCATAAATATGTCGCAGATTATGCAAATTATGAAAAAAAAAAAAACGACTCAGGGCGAAAAATACGGTAAATACACTCGGTAACGGCTTACTAAAAAAATCTGTTGAGTATTTCTGGTGAGGACTGCATCGTTTTAGTCAGATTGTTTTGTGTTTCTTTGTAGCACTGCAATCTAACATCCTTAAATTAATTGGTTTACGTCTAAATATTGACACTGCCTCTATCACCATCATCCGCTGTTAACTTCAGAGCCAAACCTTTGGTCTTCCCAGTTAAAAATAAATCAGAGCACAAACACAAACTGTGAAATTATTTGCTTTGGGGGCTGAATAAAAGTGTTAAACGAATGAATGAGCTAAATTGCAGCCACGCACTTGATGCTGACCAGCATTAACGAATCGGATGGTGAAGTTTAAAAACCATTTTAAAGAGATAAGGTTTTTGTTGACTTCTTTTTCTCTGTAATTTTTTTAAAGGACAAATTTTAAAGCGTCACCCTCGTTTATTTATAGCCTACAGGACACTCAGAGCACAAGACTATTACACTAGAATTTGTTTTTGTCATCTTTTAAATATTGCTTTAACATAAAAATCATACTTTCACAACTTCTAGTTATTTCCTAATGTAACTAGTCATACCATCTAGTTAGCTGCTGTAAGTTATTTTATTTTTAATTTTCTGCTTGACCCCATTACTGACCAATAAATGGCAGTTAAAAATTTACAAACACGAAGTTTTATTATTTTTAATTCCTCATTTTGTCCACTTGTAAGATCATCTCTTACTTTCCTGAGCTCCGTGATGCACCCGACCGCGCACCAGTCGAACTCCACGCTGCTGCCGATGCGGTACACGCCCGAACCGATCACCACGACGTGCTGCTCGCCGAAGCTCAGGTCGTTTTCGGAGCCGTGGTAGGTCAGGTACAGGTAGTTGGTGTGGGCGGGCCATTCAGCAGCCACCGTGTCGATCTGTTTCACAACAGGCAGGATGGACCAATCGTGACGCAGCTTTCTGACTGCCAGCTCCGTGCTGCAAGACACAAAAACAGAATTAACGATGGACGGTCAATTTCTAAACATTCGCCTTACAGTAGTCGGGTGAAAATCTGACAAGTAGCAGCATTATATTAATTCAATTATTTATATACCGGTATATATCGTATATAGTAAAGCTTTATAAACCCTTCCCACACTCTTATTAACCTTTCCCTGTAATGAGTTTAGCAGAGGACCTGAAAATTCAACCAGACACAGATTCAGTAAGCTTTATTTTGAAAAGACCGGTGGGAGTCACACATCTGTGGAAACGTACTGGAAAGTTTCGCAAGTCGGAACAGGGAAATCCAGGGCACAGAAACTTGGTCAGGATGAGGGGATCAGTCAGGAGCATAAAACAATTGCTGGACATTTACTACAAGGCTTTCAATAATGTGGCACCGGAGAGAGAACAGGAGAGCGGCCAAAGCCTACGGCCACCAGGTGAGAAGAATTACGCTGATCACAGCAGAGCAGGTGGGTGTGGGAGCAGACCGGCACGAATCATGACATTCCCACTCTTATAAACACTTCATATGCTCTTCAACACTGGCGATGAAGATGATGACGATGAGAGGAGTACTGCACAAAATGTAGAGTACATGCAATTAGGCCTGTCGCGATAACAATAAATCAATAATTGCATGATAAATGAAAATTATCAACCTCATTTTCGGCTTTAGAGTTTCTTCGTGTCTCTCTCTTTCTACTGAAGACACTGGATGACAAAAAGCTCAACTCCGGTCTTCACTGACCCCTCCCTTTCTCTTTAAAATCCATTTTAAACGTCAAAAATAGTGTTTTTTTTATCGTTAAAAGCAGCTAAGTTGAGAAGCTAAGCTACAAGCTAAGCTAACAGGCCGACCTCAGGGAAAAAACCTCCGTCTTGTCAAAGATAAAAAATTCACGGTTGAAACTCGTGCCTTTGTGTAAAAAGTTGTTTTTCTCTGCAAAAAGAAGCTGAGAACTTGTTTACTGATTTTCTTTTTAAAGCTTTGTGTGACAAATGCTAAAGAGCTCAAACCACACCGAGCGTCCACCATTTTGAGAACCGAAAAAAAGGAGACAGCCCATGTCATGTCAAGGGGCCTCCCTCCCATTTTTCTTAAAGAGACACGCTGCTCGCTCCCTCACTATCCATCCTTCGGTTCAAACAGTTTTACACTGCCATCCAGTGGTCAAAAAAGGTACTACATGCAAAACAAAATCAACACTTCTTTAATTTGACAATAATTACAAATTATTGTAAAATTTCAAACAATATTATCGCAATAATTTTGAGACAATTAATCACCCAACAATATTTGTTATCATGACAGGCCTACACGCAATATAAAAAAAATAACATGATTCAGTGAAGCCGCAAGTGAAGCGCGATATAGTGAGGGACGACTGTACAACCATCCATCATCTTTACCAGCTTCATCCTTGCCGGGTCACGGGGGTCACTGGTGCCCATATCCAGCAATCATTGTGCGAGAGGTGGGGGACATCCTGGACAGGTCTCCAGTCCATCACAGGGACACAGAGACAAACAACCATTTACTCTCTCTCTCACACCCAGGGACAATAAATTTTCTAACTTTTTTAGTTACAACTAAATTATTTTGTTCTTTAAAACATTCAAATTTGTTTTTATTTAACTGCATTTTGTGACGGTAACAAAAACAAACAAACAAGAGTACAGCATACGGCCCATTATACACCCATCAACAAACTATTGTACAGCAATCTGTAGCAATGGCCAGGACAAACAAAGTTCTTCTTTATACGTTGACCTTGATTTGTGACCTTGACATTGGAGCTGGGGTGATTAAAATGGTCTCTGTCTATACATGATGTGTAAGTGTACGAAGGATTAGATTGTCTTGAGCGGATCTGAAGTTACGAGTGGGAAAAAAGAACGTTTACGAACGTAGACATGGAGACCAAACCAGTACACATCCGCCTTTGACGGGTGAATAAAACTCAAAAATCAGTCAAATCTTTAACTCAGCAAATGAAATCAGTGTCCTTGGGTGTGTCTTCCCACTCACCTCTGCACAGCCAGAGCGATCTGCTTGTCTGAGAAGCCCAGCTGTTTGGCCTTACGCATCACCTCTGGAGGCATAGCGCTCTCATCCTGAAGTTAAAGATTTAACCGATGAGGTAATAAAGAAAACAGCGGAATATCTTTTATGTTGCTCGTGTCTAATTAGCGTTACCTGGTTGTAGGTCTCAAGCAGATGCTCGTGGTCGGCAATGTTCTTCATCTTGTGCAGGAACCAGCGGTCGATCTTGGTGAGCTCGTACAGCTGATCCACCGTGTAGCCGGCTCTGAGCGCAGCCGCCAAAATGAAGATTCGCTTATCGGTGGGCGTCTGCAACTCCTGCAGAGCATGCGGAGGCGAGAAATTACTAAATTAACTTTGACAAACAAACAGCTGAGCATTTGACCAGTTGGTTTATTTTATTCAGTTTAAAGATTTATAAACGTCACACTCCGTTCTGCACCACCACCTATTTGAAAAACTGTTCATCTCCGAGACGCCGGCAGCCAAATAATGAGCGGACATCCAGATAATAGGAGACCACGAGAAAACTGACAGGTCTGTACCCACAGCTTTATCCTGTCAATATTTTTGCACAGTTAAAACTATGTACACGAATGTGAGAAAAATACATTTGTTAGGACATATTTTGTGTCATAAACTTTCAAGTGACCTTCCACGAAGGGACGAGTTTCAACCATGAATTTTGGACAGAAAATGTCCATGATCAATAATCCAGGAATACAATCCAACACTGACTGAAAATGGTTGGATTGTATACCTGGATTATTGAGCATGGACATTTTTGGTTTTGAACCAGTTTGACATGACGGTCGACGAGGAAGAGGGCCGGCTCCAGAGGAGGGGCGTGCCAAAGACACCATCTTAGCACCAACATAACTGGTTTGTTCCACTTTGGAGTAAGCTGTTGGGGGGAAGAATCAGTTTTGTGTTGTGCGTTTCCTTGACTGATTAAGCCTTCTGGATGGAAGGTGAAACTTTTCAGAAAAAAGAAAAACTGTCCAGATGAACTGCCTGAAAATTGTTGGCATGAATTTTGGAGTTTCGACAAGACGGAGGTTTTTTTCCCCGAGGTCGGCCTGTTAGCTTAGCTCGTAGCTTAGCTGCTTTTAGCGATCCAAAAACATGATTTTGTACGGTTAAAACAGATTTTAAAGAGAAAAGAGAAAGGGAGGTGTCAGTGAAGAACACCGGAGTTGAGTCTTTTGTTCTCCAGTGTCTTCAGGAGAAAGAGACCAAGAAACGATAAAGCATGATAAATGAAAATGAGATAGATCATTTTCATTTATCATGCAATTTATTGATTTACTGTTTATCGCAACAGGCCTAGTTATAAGAGATTTAAATGACTAATTAACATTTTGTTTTCGTTCTCCGTGCAAGACAAAAGTAATGTTCAATTTTTCATAGCTAGCAGAAACATTGCAGATCCTAAACATCACTAATTTATGGTTTGTCAAAATAGTATAAACTAATACTTTTAGATTATTAGTTTAGTTGATTTACTAATCAGGCCAAGTTTGCAGATTCATTGCAACTTCTTGTAATTAAACATTGGTGAAGCTTAAACAAAGGTCCGCTCAGTGACTGAAGATAAAGGTAAAACTGAAAGTAATGACCAGAAGTTACTCCAGCCATAGATTTACACGACAAAGGACTTAAAAATTAAAATAAATAAAAAGAGACGGGGTAGACTCGAACCTTTTCAGAGACGGGTTTGATGGTGTGGTCAAAGCCAACACAGTTCTCATCCACCATCCTCAGAGCTTTCTGAAAGGCCTCCTCAAAGCTCCGGCCGATGGCCATCACCTCCCCTGAAGAGAAGGTATTCAACAAAAACATCAAGACGAGTGAAAAAGTAAACATGACTTTTTGTTTGAATGTGATCCATCAACCAGACTTTGACGCTCCTGGAAACGGTTTGTGAAACGGGAAGAAAAGTTCGTCTCTCTCTTACCGACGCTCTTCATGGAGCTGCCGATCTTGGTGGAAACCCTGAGGAACTTGCTGAGATCCCACCGAGGAACTTTCACCACGCAGTAGTCCAAACTCGGCTCAAAGTTTGCCGTTGTAGAGTTGGTGACAGAATTTCTGGAAGAAAAAATTAGAACACTGTAAATAATCTGCAGCAAATTATTATACGTAGACCAGCAAATTAAAAACCGTTTTTGTTAGAGCTTCAAATCAAAATCAAAGACGTTAATAATTAAGATTTAATTTTTATGTGGTTAGGACATACTTGAGCTCTGGCAGCGGTATCCCCAGACCAAGTTTGGCAGCGACGTACGCCAAAGGGTAACCAGTAGCTTTACTGGCCAGCGCTGAGCTCCGTGACAGGCGGGCGTTCACCTCGATGATGTAGTACTGACAAAACACTCAGAGTCACAACAAAGAACATACCGCTATGTACTTTTATTTTTTAAGTTTGTTCAGGTGCGCTCATGAGTCCAGAAACTATGGTAATATTTGTGCAGAAGTATGAATATTTGGACACAGAGCCCTGCACCTATAAATCTGTGCTCAAAGACGAGTCTTTTTTCCGTTTACCTGATCGGACTCGGGGTTCAGAGCGTACTGGATGTTACACTCCCCCACAATGCCGAGGTGTCGGATCACTTTGATGGCTGTGTTCCTCAGCATGTTGTACTCGTGGTCGTTCAGAGTCTGACTCGGTGCCACCACGATGGATTCCCCCGTGTGGATACCCAGAGGGTCGATGTTCTCCATGTTACACACCTGAACACAAGCAGCAAGAATTAAAAAGTTCAGCAACGAATGTTTTTTTTTTTTATTATTATTATTTTATTATTATTATTACTGCAGATTCATATATTTGTGCAGTTTTTTTTTGCTCTTACGGTGACACAGTTGTCGTAGGCATCCCGGACCACCTCGTACTCGATCTCCTTCCAGCCCTTGAGGGATTTGTCCACCAGGACCTGAGAGGTGTGTGCGAACGCTGACGTTACCAGCGGAACGAGTTCTTCTCGGTTGTTGGCAAAGCCAGAGCCCAAACCGCCGAGAGCGAACGCCGAACGAACCAAGACTGGGTAGCCCAGACGCTCAGCGGCTGCCAACGCCTACGACAAAAAAAACAAACGTGAATGTAAACCGGAGAAAAATGACAAATTAGAGCGTAGCTGTAAACGGCTGAAGGTTCCTACCTGCTCCACTGACAGCGCTGCTTCACTGGGAGCCACGTGTTCGTTGATCTCCTCCATTTTCTCCACAAAGACCTTCCTGTCTTCAGTCATCTCGATGGAGGCGACCGGCGTTCCCAGAACTTTGACTTTATACTTTTCCAGGATGCCCATCTTCCTCAGCTCCACGCCGCAGTTCAGGGCAGTCTGACCACCGAACGTGAGCAGGACACCGTCTGGGCGCTCGTTTTTGATCACCTGTTGAGAGGCGGCATGCAGAATTTTCTCCACAAACCCTGATTTGATTAAACCGGCTGGAATCTCGTATCAATCGCAGAGAGGAAAGAAAATAAAGTCCACACCTGAGTGACATATTCTGGTGTAATTGGCAGGAAGTAGACTTTGTCCGCTAGACCTTTGGAGGTCTGCACCGTGGCGATGTTGGGGTTGATCAACAAAGTCTGGATATTCTCCTCCTTCAGAGCCTTTATAGCCTGAAAACAAGTAAAAAAAACAATACTAGAATAAACTTACCAAGAAAGTTAAATATTAAAAAATATACAAGTACATCTGTCTGAACGCTTATGAAGCATTCACACTATTGTGATCCATTTTTCTTCCATACGTTTCTCGGCACATTTCTCGTTTCACAATTTTTGTGCTATTTCAACAAATCATAAATCAAAACATTTGGCTCTTTCAGGACAATCCTGCTGTGACTTTGGTATTGGTGCAACTTTAGCTTTTTGAAATATTTAGCCTTTTCTGACATTTTTTTCTCATAAAAAATACAACCTTCAAATATTTAGATCGGTTTACAACCTTTCACTGCTCCTTTCACATTTTGTTCGGCTTGAGCCGATTTCGGCTTCCTTGTGCAAATTTTATTAAGCTACTTTCAGTTACTTTCAGCTGTTTTGTGCTCCTTTCAGATTCTTTCTGCCAACTACAACATTTTTGTACTTCTAACTTCTTTCTGCTAATTTCAGCTTGTTTGCTCCTTTCAGTTTTTTTCTGCAAGTTTCAACTTTTCAACTACCGTACTGGTATTTCAGCTACTATTTAGCTGTTTTTATACAAATGTTAGCTTTTTTGGCTAATTTCTTTTTTTTCCCCACTAATTGCAACCTTTTTCAGCCTAATTCAGCAAAAATGTGCTCTCTCCACCTCCTTCTGGTAATTTAAGCTTCTTTCTGCCCGTTTAGCTACTTTTCAGCTGGTTTAAAAAAAAAATTGTTGCTAATTTCAGCTTTTTTCAGAAAATTTCCATGTTTGTGCTCATTTCTGCTTCTTTCAGCTTAATTGGTCAAATGTGTTCTTTCTTCTTGCTTCTGCTAATTTAAGCTTGTTCTACCTGTTCAGCTACCTTTTTTAAATAATTTCAGCTGTTTTCAGATAAATTCAAGTTTTTTTATGCTAATGTCTGCTACTTTCAAACTAATTAACTTATTTCTGCTAATTTCAGCTTATTATGCTCCTTTCAAGTTTTTCCTGCTAGTTTCAGATTTTTCTGCTCTTTCAAATATTATTTTGCTTTTGATGCTAAATTTAGTTTTTTCAGCTAATTCCATTTTTAAAAAAATTTTTTAAAGCTCATTTCAGTTCTTTCTGCTTCCTTCTGGTAGTTTAAGCTTCTTTCTGCTTTTTCAGCCATTTTTTAAAATAATTTCAGCCCTTTTTTTTTAAGCTAATTCCCCAAATTTTGGAGGGGGTTAATTTCTGCTTATTTCAGCAAATGTGTTCTTTCTGCTTTTTTCTGATAATTTAGGCTTGTTCTTCCATTTCAGCAAATTTCAGCATTTTTTTTTAGCTAATTTCAACTGTTTTTCAGCAAGTTCTTCTGCAATAAGAATTTGCACTGTATTTTTGCAGGAAATGTAATTTCTCTAGTTAATTCAGAGATGGCGTTCTTTAAAAGTAAAAACATTTGCTTGTGCCAGTGCAGCACAATCAAGAACAACAAAAATAGTTCAAGCCAAGAAAATGGGCGAAGAGCTTCAGGAGGTCACCTTAGTTGCTCTCCAGTTACTCAAAGTTAGTCAGGTATTCTAAAATGAATTAACAGTTTTCTTTTCGTTTCACAGACCTGGGATCCAGAGTAGTCGAACTCTCCAGCCTGACCAATGGAGAGTCCTCCAGAGCCCAGGATGAGGACTTTCTTAGGCCTGACAACCTCCTCGATCTTTGGAGAATCGGGGTAGGTGAGGTGGTCCATCAAACGCTGCTTAACTGAAAAGAAACAAAACTGAATTTAAACAATCTTCATTTGTACAATTCAGAGATGCTAGGCCTGCGTAGAGGTTTAACTTGTGAGGTCATTTTTCAGACACGTCTTTTAAAGTGCATATGTTAAAATCGATCAAATGCTGGGTGCTGCTTTTGAAAAAACACTAACTGGCCTTGAAACACAGCCCTGCAGAAGAAGATGTGATTACCAGATGTTGCCGTGTTGCCCTCTTTGTAGTCTTTCACAGTGTTGAGGAAAACATCAAACAAGCTGACCAGATCTGTTGGGCCGGCCATGTGCTCCGGGTGGAACTGAACGCTGCACGATCCGAATGAAGCATTTAGTCTCTTTTTTTAAACCTATACACGGTTTATAACAAACTAAACTGAGCTACTCGTCATGTCATCACAAAGACGGCTACCTGAAGAAGGGTTTTGTCTTGTGTACGACGCCCTCGTTGGTGTGGTCGTTGGCGTTGGTGAAGAGCACGTCCCACTCGTTCGGTAGGGTGTCTGGGTCGACAGCGAAGCCGTGGTTCTGACTGGTGATGAAGCAGCGACCTGTCCCGTTGTGGATGCACGGCTGGTTGTGGCCACGGTTACCATACCTGAGAAACGAGCAAACAAAATTTTAAAAACCCATTTAAAACACGTAACATTTTAAAGCTTATTTTACATAAAAGATGCGTCATTTTAAAGCCACTTTTTAAAATGTATAAAAAAGCCATTTAATTACACATATGCTGCTTTAAATAAAACATTATATGCACACTTTGGGTATGTTGTATACATATTTTTTACAAATGTATTTGTTATCCTGAGAAATATTAAGGAATTTGTGCAAAACAAAACAACAACAACAACAAAAAAGAATAAATAAATAAATAAAATGCACCCAAATTCTTAAACTTCAAGAATACAATAAATATACCTTGAAAATTTACATTAAAATGGTAATACAATTAAGAGGGTAATTAACCCTAACCAGATCAACTTGCATGTTGAATTCAGCTAAACTCAGAACATAAAACTTTTTACTCTGTTAAAGCAGAAATATGTTTAAGTCAAAATGTTTTATTTTATTATTCTTTTTGTTTTGTTTTTATTTTTTTAAAAACAAGAGTTTAAAAGTAACTGGTAAGTTGACATCAAGTCATGGAAAAACCCGTGCAGCTGTAATTTGTAGCAAGGAAACCTCCTAAACTCTGAAGATGTTTAGAAGTCGACAACGTTCCAGCGGAGCGGTGAGAACTCTTTTAGTCCTTTGTGACCTTCGTGCTGTCTGATAAAGCAGTGGACTCCACTGCCTCAGGTGCTCGTCAGGCATTACAATAACGTGTTTACATTAGCCTTTCTCAGTCTGGTGCCCAAACTGAAGATACCAGACTGCTGAGGCTGCAAAAACCTGCTCCTCACCGTGCAAAGGGTGAAAAACGGCTGCCGTTTTTACAGAAAACTTGTTCACTTCAGAGATATATCTCAGTTTTAAAACACGAATAAAGGCCATATGTGCACTCATAATTCCATCAGATTTGACTGCGTTAAATTAGGGTTGTTTTAGCACAGATGAGGAGTGTTATAGTTTAAAAACTTTGACTTCAAACCTGAACTTTAATTTTCAATCGGCTGCAAACTCTGATTTGACAGTTTTAGGTGTTAGTTCATGCAGGTGTGCCGTTAATAATCGCGACACTCACTTCATCTTGTAGGTCTTTGCGCCAATGACCAAAGAAATCAGCTGATGTCCGAGACAGATCCCAAAAACCGGCTTTGGCCGATCCACGCAGATCACCTTCCTCACGTTGTTGACGGTGGCCTGACAGAACTGGGGATCCCCTGGACCGTTACTGATGAACAATCCATCAAAATCTGAGAAACACGATCACGTTACTGAAGAGAAAAGTAGTCTGTACATTTTAAAATATTAATCATAAATGACTGTTTTTTCCTGTTCGCGTGTAAAGGTATGTTTATGCAGTTAAATAAACCTGCAGAAAAATACAAAATGCACTATAAAGTCTTCAGTGTCAACAATTTAGCAAATTGCACTCAACCAAGAGGACTCGAATTAGGTAGAAAATGTGTTAAACCAAAGTAGAAATTCCCATAATTCTTCCTGATAGAAACTTTTTGTGAAATACGGAAAAGAAGCGCATTACTGACCGTTGATATCGAGCGGGTGGTCCCACGGTACAACAGTAACACGTGCGCCTCTCTGAGCCAGGCAGCGGATCTGGTTATACTTGATTCCACAGTCCACCACCGTGATCCGCAAACCACCACTTGGGTTGAATATTCTCGGCTCCTGAAGACAAACGCGAGAGGGGAAACTGGAATATTTACGAACAAATAATAAGCCCTTCGCATATATTTAGGTTTTAGGCTCAGATGATGCAAAAATGATTTGACGTAGAAGCTAATTATTGTTGCTTATTGATTATAATAGCCTGATAATGATGGCACAGCTAATAAACAAGTCCAATATAATCTCTTTCTTTATTCAAACAACTTGTTTTGTCCAGTTTTGAGCAGCCATCTTTAATATTTCAGGAAGAAAGGGTTATCAGTTCTACCATTAGAGGGCTGATAAAGCTGCTGTGAGACTAACAGAAAGTGGATTCTCTACCTTCATGGACACCTCTTGGACCAGGTTTCTCTGATCCGGGTTATCAAAGGGGATGCTGTCCTCAGGAGTCCCGTCTATAACCAGCTTCCCCAACATGGTGCCCTTCTCTCTGATCTTTTTGGTCAGACAGCGGGTGTCGACACCTGGAGTGAAGAGAAACCACTTGAAACTTCTTTCACAAGTAACATTACAAATGATAAACGGCTAAAATGCTCATACCCGAATGAACAAATTAAACCTGGATTATTTTTAATTTCATGAGTATTTTCAGACCTTGTATTCCAGGAATGCCTTGTTCTTTGAGCCACTGGTCCAGTGACTTGACTGACCTCCAATGACTGGGATGCTCTGACAGTTCGCCAATAATCAGAGCTGCAGCGTGGATCTTGGAGGACTCAAACCACTGAGCAGAACAGAAACAAAATTAATCTTCATATGGTGTTAAGAGTAAAGCAGTCTTCCCTCGGCTTAATCTAAATTCATCGAAACTTCTTTATATTCGTTTGTGACGATTTTATTATTTGACTTTAGCTCACCTTGCTGAGTCCAAACTCTCCCTCTTCATCCGTCGGTACTCCATAGTTGCCGACCAGGGGGTAAGTGAGAGTCAGCAGCTGGCAGCTGTAGGACGGGTCAGTGAGAGCCTCAGGGTATCCCACCATGCCGGTCTGAAACACTGAACACACAAAACAACTTCATCGCTCATATGAATTCTCGTAAGACACATACGATGTGTTTAAAGGACTGCGTCCTGATTGTTTACAGCCTCAATCATTAAATCTGTAGATTTTGAAAGATCTTCCGAAGGTTTTTATCTTTAGACTTTGACTGCTTTTTCATTTCTGCTTGTTGAGCTAATTCCTGATGTTGAAACTGCCAAAACCTGGCCCAGAATGTAGATGATCGACTGTAGAATGATGCACCTCAGGTCTGGCGGGCTGATTTTTCTTAAGAACCTTTGGCTATCTGCTAGGTGAGACTGCACACCATGCCAAGAAATGGCTCATTTGGTGATGGTGGAAACACACCACGACTCGAGTCTAGTTTTAATATCAGTCTCTTTGACGATAACATTAAATTAGAAGTGGTTTAAGACTTGTGCACAGTACTTTATGATGTTTACTCTCACCACACGTGTTTACACTCATGGCCTGACCCATCCAACAGCTTAAAGCATCCTCAAAGCAAACTCAGTGGTCAACAAGAATGATTATTTACCTGCAGGTCAGTGACCTTTACAGGCTGACAACAAAACACATGTGGTCCACGCTCCTGGGAATGTGCACGGACCACATGCACATTCCCAGGAGCGACTTTAAGTTGACCGGTTTAATGTACTTTTAAAGACACGCCCCCAAGACAGAAGTTATTCAGGTCTGGCGCTCATCTTAACTGGCCTTCTGTGGACATCAGGGATCAAATCTTCAAGTTAGAAAATAATTAATAAATGAAAGAAAATATTTATGCAAATTTTGTACAAGAAAGTGAATAAAACTTACCAACTTCTCCCGAAACCGACACATTTGCACCAAAAAGGCTGCCGCTAAACCTTTCTCCGTCCTCCAGAATCAAGGTTGCCATTTTCTTTCAGGTTAGCAGATGCTACTGATGCTAACTATTGATTTCCTCCAGCGGGTTAAAGCGAGGAGGTCTTCTGGTGTGCACGTGAACCTTCCGCCACAACGAAGAGATGCAGAAACTCGGAAAAAAAACTAACAACTAAGAAACTTTGCCGTTTAAAAACAGGACCTGGTGGCGTCGTCGTGTATCCTGTGTCAGAATTTGGACTAAAAGGCGAAACAAAAAGCTCAGTTAAGGACTTTGGCGGTTAAACGGGCACAGAGGATGATAGCAAATGGTTCCACGCGCACCGCCAGCAGCGTGGAAGTCGGCCCGCGGTCTGCACGCGAATGTTTGACGCAGCAACGCATACCATTTCCGCTGCGCGTTTTCAAAATAAAAGTTTATGCTGACCAAAAACAAACAAACAAAAACAAAAAAAAAAATTGTTGACCAATATAGCTAAAAATATGTTGGAAATCTTAAGACATTAGATGTATGCATCTGACAATGCATCACTTTATTTTTGTTTTAACCTAACTCAACACTTTCAGAGTGCTCTTCAGAGAAACACTGTGGTTCAACTTCAAAGTGAATACAATGTAGAGTATATATGTATGTATGTAATGTATAAAGGTACATGTGGTGGAACAAAATTATGTACACAGGGTCCCAGTTACATACAACAATAAAATGTACAAGAAAAACAGTAATACGATCTAAACATCAACTAAAATTATGCTAAGCACAAATAGCATAAAAACAATACGCCGAACAGCAGCACGAACATGAGCCTGTGTGAGCAGATGAGCACGAATGAATACAGCAACATGAAACAGATCAGCAGCAACATGAAACAGATCAGCAGCAACACGATGCGATTTTTCACAGTGATTATTCTGGTTAGAGATTCATGAGTCTAACCTCAGGGTAGAAGCTGTTCCTCAGTCTAGTGGTTCTACACTTAATGCTCCTTAATCTCCTGCCTGAGGGTAGAGGGGCAAAAAGTGTGTGTTGTGCTGGGTGAGTGGGGTCCTTCATGATGCAGGTGGCCCTCTTCCTGCATCTGGAGGTGTAGATGTCTGTGATGGTGGGGAGGCTGACTCCAACGTCTTCTGTGCAGCCTTCACCACTCTCTGCAGAGCTTTTCTTTCTGCAGCTGTGCAGCCTCCATGCCACACATTGATGCTGGAGCACAGGATGCTCTCCACTGCACACCTGTAGAAGGAGGTGAGGACTGAGCTTCCCAGACCAGCTCGCCTCAACCGTCTGAAGAAGTAGAGTCTCTGATGAGCTTTCTTGATCAGGCTGGTGGTGTTGTTGTCCCAGCTGAGGTTATTCAGGTGCACACCCTATCGTCAATCAGTTTATTTACTTTTCATCAGTAAACAATGAGCATTAATCAAAGTTCATGCTCAATAATCCAGGTAAAAATACAGCAATGTTCAGTCAGGTCATCTGGACGGTTTCTAATTTTGCTGAGACGTTTCGTCCTTCATCTAAAGAACTTCTTCAGTCTGAGGAGCCATTTTGTTTGGTGGCTCCTGAGATGGAAGAAGTCCTTTGGATGAAGGACGAAACGACTCAGCCAAAAAACGAAACCGTCCAGATGACCTGACTGAACATTGTGGGATGAGCGATCACGTTCATGCGGATAAACCTTTACTTTGAAGTTAGAGTCTCCTGCTTCCGGTACAGTCTAATAACGTAATTCTTTTTCTTACCAGCAGGTGGATGTGGACCGAGTTTTTATTTTATTTGGAGAAAAAAATTGAGGCCAGAAATGTAAATCATGGACCATAGATAAATCAGGTCCAATGGACGGATTAAAAAAAAAAAAAAAAAAAAAAGCTTTTTGAAACGTTTCGTTTTACGAAGTCTTTTGGATTCAACAGTTTTTATTTTATTTTTTGAATCCGTCCAGATGACCCCTGACTTAACCTTTTTAAATTTTCTACCTGATAATTGAGCATGCATCAGAATGTGGATCATAGAATTCATGAAATTCAAAACTAATTGTCTAAAATTATAAAATAAAAGTATGTGATTAAACAAGGTTCGGCCTCCTACCATTTCCAGGTAAAAACTTTTTTCTTTCTCTTCAGGTAAACTGTATTAATTTAAGCCGAAATCACTGTGCGCGTATACTTAGAAATCTACATAAAGAAAATTACACAGGACTTGAGATATCTGGGGATGTAGCTCAGTGGTAGAGCGCATGCTTTGCATGTATGAGGCCCCGGGTTCAATCCCCGGCATCTCCAATGACAATTGTTTTCCTAATCCCTTCTTTTGCAAAATCGCAAATCCTAAACATCATTGTTTTTATGATACCGTAATATATGTTAATTATTTGCTAATGGACTAACATTTTTTTATATAGTACTGTGTACTCTCAAAATAAAAATCCCAGCTAACAAGGAAAAAGAAACGTTCAGGGAACGTTCATTAACGGCAAACGTTGTCTCTGAATACACGTTTTCCCAACGTTCCTCCAACGAATGTTTGGTTAGCAATACGTTTTAACGTTCGTATTACGAAAATATGCTTGTGTCTTTCATTATGTGGCTTCGGAACTTGGGTTTTCTGAATCTTCAAAACAAATCAATGCGGCGCCTCTTCGGACCAGGAAAGGTGAATTTCCGATACTTTTAAATGCACCACAAGTTCCCGCCCACAGCGGTAACTAAGGAGATCACGGTTATGTTTACTTCAAAGATGTCCTCCATGCTAGCGCTAGTTACCTGGAACTGGTCAGAAAAATGACCCAGCTCTAAACGTTTCAGCACTTGTAATCTTTCTGTGGGCTTCCGTTAGGCTTCTGGAAATGCAGCTGAAGCATCTTAAGACGCTCTTAACACCCCAGGTGAGTCTGGACGTCAGGAGTTAGCATGATGCTAGCTGATGCTAAGTACTGAGACTCGCATTAGCATTGATAGAAGCAGTAAGTCGTTCACGGCTTAACTCGTTTAGATGTTCGGAAAAGATCCGTTACTTTTTTTTACTTTTTTTATTATTGACTAATGTATTTGACACAGGAGGGTGCTGCCAAAGTAACATGCATGGCCTGGTCACCGAACAACACGAAGTTTGCTGTTTGCACTGTGGACAGAGTGGTTCTGCTTTACGACGAGCAGGGAGAAAGGAGGGACAAGTTCTCCACCAAACCTCTGGATGCTAAGGTGATGCTCTCATTTGATTAGATTTGTCAAATGCAGTTTTTTTTAACAAAGCTTTCTGAGCTGTTTATAACATTTACTGAGAGTTGAAGGATTTCTGTTCAGGAAGGGACACTATATTGTTAAATATTTTACTTGTTTATAAAACCTTCACCTGATCCTTCTTTTTGGACATCTCCTGAAAAATCTGATTTTTCTTATTTTATCTTATTTTTTAATCAGTTCAGTCCTTTGTTACCCAAGTCTCAGTATTGGTTTATTGTTGTTTTTTATGTAAATTCAGCTTTTTTTTTTTCAGCCATCTGGTCTCTACAGCAAGTCCTCCTCCATCTCACTCATGTCCTCTGCATCTTCTGTCCTCACTCCAACTACGTCCATGTTGTCTCTAACTCCTTCCATATATCTCCTCTTTGTCTTTTTCCTGGCAGCTGCATTTCTAACATCCTTCTACCAATATACACACTGTCCCTCCTCTGGACATGTCCAAACCACTGTCCCTCTTCTGGACATGTCCAAACCACTGTCCCTCCTCTGGACATGTCCAAACCATCTCAGTCTGGCCTTTTCAACTTTATCTCCCAGTTGTTCAACCTGTGCTGTACCTCTGATGATCTCATTCCTAATCTTCTCCATCCTTGTCTCTCCTAAGGAGAACCTCAACATCTTCATTTTTGCCACTTCCAGTTCTGTCTCCTGTCTTTATGTCCATGTCTCTGTCTCCAGACCATACAACCAGACAACACAGCTGGTCTCACAACTGTCTTGTAAACTTTTTCCCTTTGCTGACACGTTTTTGTCACAAACCGATCCTGAAGCTTTTCTCTATCCACTCAGTTCTCCTTCTTCATCACTTTACCACACTTTTCCATGTTCCTGGACAGTGGACCCCAAGTCCTTGAAGTCGTGCACCTTTGTGACCTCTGCTCCTTGTAGCCTCACTGTTCCACCTGTCTCTCTCATTCACACTTATTTCACTTAAAGTCAACTGATCTCCTTCTGTTATCTGCAACACCTGGGGAACATTATCGGAGGCCCACCTCCATCCCACCTCAAAGGCAGATTCTGTGAAAGTAAAAACTGAGTTTACGCAGCTTTAAAAAAAAACAACTGTTTTCATAAAAGAATGCTGCTCATGTTTTGTATTTATTTGATTTTTTGTTGTTGTTGTTGTTGTAGCTATGTATGGTTGTGTTGTCCGAACCAGGCTAAGAATGGGTGTTTCAACATTGAGACAGGAATATGTCTTTCCTCAGGGAATGTCAGGCCTTTAGTTTTAAACTTATACCATTAAAGATTCTAAGAGCAGTATTTCCATGTTCTACGTTAAGGATCGAACAACTGTTGTCTGTATTTACCACACAAATGAATTGCACTTCAGAATTGACAATATTATATTTTTTCTATTCATGTAAAACCTGAAGGCTAAATAGTTTTACAACAGAAACATCTCACACAAGCTGAAATAAAAACCTCATCCATTCAATAATTTACCTGCACAACAAAATTCAACTTGGTGTAATGAAATAATTTATTAACAGGTTGGTTGAGCAGCTAAGAAACACTAACTGTGGAAAGAAAATTCTGCATTCAGTTCTAACATCACAAATATTCATTCTTTTTTTAACATCTTGCCTCTAAAAATTGCAGTCGTTATTATAATCCAGGCTACGCTTCTCTAATCTCTTTTTATTTCTACATGAGGAGTTCCCATTCATAGTTTTTAAACGCCTGGGTTTTTTTTTTCTGTTTTGTTTTTCAGTATGGAAAACAGAGCTATGTGGTCAATGACATGGTCTTCTCACCAGACTCCACCAAAATCGCCATCGGCCAGTCGGACAACATAATCTATGTCTACAGAATTGGAGAGGATTGGTATTGTCCTTTTTAATTTATTTTTCCACTTTAAAATTCACATTGCACATGTTTTCATCAGGTTTTTTTGTTTCTGTTTCTTGCTTGTAGGGGAGATAAGAAAGCCATTTGCAACAAATTTGTTCAGACGGTGAGTAAAGAGGAGCTGAGGTTTAATCATATTTATGTTTAAAATGTAAAAAGTGTGTTTCTCACTTGTCCAAATAAAGTGAAACTGTGCCTTGTGAGGATTTTTATCGTTTCCTCTTCGGTGTTGTTGAATGTTTTGAACAGATTTTAACTTTTTTTTTTGTCTCTTGAAGTCTTTTTTGTCTTTCAGTCGTGGGATCATTAGCACTTGATGTGTCTCGTTGGGGGACGTGTGGTTGTTGTGAGCTGTGGGTTGTTGCTCTCCCAGCCATCACGTGGGACCTGAGTGCTTTTATGGATCGAGGCACTGATTTATAGCAAGTCAAAATACTGGGGAGGAGATGTCTAAATAAATAAATAAATAAAATGTGTTCAGATTTACATTTAATCTATTACATTTTGCATGTAGCTATGCCTTAAAATAGTGTGATTGCTTTTTTTCCCCATCAATCACTTTTTAACATTCTTTTCAAATGATTTCAAACTCCTCTGTCCAGAATGTGGACGTTTACTGTCTTCAAAGATGTTTTTTTCTTCATGAGGCCATCTTTACCCGAGAATCTGGCTTTGTTTGTTAAGAGCCTCTTTCATATTCGAATGCCTGTGCACGATTTGCTCAGTCATTAGCTTCATGCGACTCATGAAATTCAAAATGTTCTTCCTGCTTCCCCAAGATTTTCTCAAAGGCTTTTTTGTTAAAAATGTTCCCGTTCCTTTTTATTTCCTTCTACCTTGGAGGGGACTTTCTCAGTCTTAGCCCAGTGGAGAAGCATCCTGGAAACACGAGTTTCTTTATGGACCTTTGTGTTGATCCTTAATGTGCACAAAAAGTCAGATTTTTTTCTACAACCTGTCTTGTGACCTTCATGCTGGCGTCTACTGAGCCGTAGGATCGATGCTGGGTCTCTTCTTCCCAGGTTTGGTTTTTGACTCTGGTGTCAGGTTCCTCATGTCAGAACCTTTTGGCAGCTCAGTATTCTGATGTTTCCGGCATCCATGGGAAAATGTGGTCACAAAGGGTGAAATAGGAGAAGTCCGTTGCACAACCTTCTTTTGTTAATTGACTTTAAGGTGGAAGGTCAAAGGTCAGGCAGGCCACGTTCTTCATAGAACTGTTTAAGTTAAGGATTTATTTTAACTCTGTAAGAGCTCCAGTTTTCTACATGAATGTTCCTTTGTGTTGCAGAGCGCTGTGACTCGCCTACTTTGGCCTGCAGAAAATGCGATTGTTTACGGATTGGTTGATGGCAAGGTGAGTCACGAACAGACGGCCACTGTGAAAGACAGGCGATCATGTAACAGCCTGAGCCTGTGTACACTTTAGTGCTTTTTTGTCTGTCGACTAGCAAAATGTCTCATGAACTGCTGGAAGAATTTTATTGAAACTCTCAGAAAGTAATCACTGGATGAACATCTATGAATTTAGAGACACGGTTCAATTAAAGATGGACGCCACAGCTAACTTACCTGAGCCAACAAGTGTCTATAGGGCTGCCAGTTTTACAGATACTGTTTTGTTCTGCTCAGTGTAGCTTCTGTCCTGCTTGTTTTAACTTTAACAACCGAACAAAGTCATTCAGCGCTCAGCATTCACGCTGCGGTTTGGCAGAAAATGGAGTTAAAACTGAAATGATGTTTGTCGACCAGTAAAAACAAGTGTTTCTGTTGGTGAAAAATATCATCCATGGGAAGCTTTTGTGTGAAAATTACAAAATCAGCACAAAAACTTTTGGGAGGAAAATATTCTTGCTTTATCTCAATTACTCAAAAGGAGCTGTGCTCGACAGCAGGAGATCTTTAACCGGTATTTTTCCTGCAAGGATAGATTTTCAGGACAGGACAGGTTACACAGAAATACAGGAAGCACACATGAAGACCAGAGAATCTGCCACGAGCCGTGTGAGAAGCTTGTTTTTATACAGAAGTCCCTTGTTTATCGCGGGGGATCCGTACCCTGAAGATCCGCGATAAAGAGCACAGAATCTCATGATTTCCCTCTCTGCCGCCGCTGCTCTCAGCCAACTGCAAGCGCTCTTGGCCACGCCCACTTCTCCGCTCTGCACTAAGATCAGCTGTTCAGCTGCGGCAGGAAGTTTATCCTGCAGTATGGACTGCACAAAGGTGCAGCAGGTGCTAAATAATTTGGCTCCTCCATCAGTCAGCCAGTTGTGTGTCATGTCCAATCTTATTTTGAAAAACCGCGTTAGAGCGAGCCTGTGATAAACGAACTGAGAAGTAGCGAGGGACTACTGTACTCTCATTAGTTCAGCCGAGCTCACAGACTCGGAGGCATCCTTGAAGCGACAGCTGGGCGCTGCTCCTCATCCAGCTCTCTCTGCTAACCCAAACATATGGTTCATGGGCAGAGTTAACATTCTCAGCCATAGAAGTTAAAAATATCCATAAACTTTGACAGAAAAGTCCGTAACAAAAACAGTTCATTTCTGACCCTTCTTCAACAGGTTCGCCTCGCCAACACCCAGACAAATAAATCTTCCACCATCTACGCCACAGAGTCCTGTGTCGTCTCGTTGACGTGCAAGTAAATACCTCGTCCATATTTGAACCTAATATGAGTAAACTCAGATGTAATAATTGCTTGTTTGTCCAGAAACGGTAAAAAAGATCATCGTGTGAACTTTGCATTTGCATTTTTAAATTCTAAATCATTCATTAGTGTTCCAGCTGCTCTATTTTGTTTTGTTATTCCTCGTTTTGATTGTAAATTGGAGCTCTGTGTCAGTGTTTCTGGTAAAGGCATCCTGTCTGGTCACGCCGATGGGACCGTCGTGCGTTACTTCCTTAATGATGAAGGCTCGGGGGAATCTCAGGTACAGATGGTCTCATAAATCCATCCCACACAGAATGCTTATGAATATCCTCATGCTCTTACATGATCTGACTCAGGGCAAGCTGCTGACACACCCATGCCCTCCTTACGCTCTGGCCTGGGGAGCCAACAGCATCGTGGTGGGCGGCTGCGATAAGAAGGTGGTGGCGTACGGCAGAGAGGGTCACATCCTGCAGAACTTCGACTACAGCCGCGACCAGTCGGAGAGGGAGTTCACGGTGGCGGTCACCAGCCCCAGCGGGCAGTCTGTGGTGTTTGGCAGCTTCGACCGGTCAGAATAAAAATACAGATTAACCTTCAATGATGTGACGCAAATGATCTCGGGGACGTTTTTGGAGCAGCTGTGTGTGTTTGGTTGATTTTGTGCAGGTTACGGGTGTTTAACTGGGCCCCGAGGAAAGGCATGTGGGATGAAGCCAAACCCAAAGAGATCTCCAACCTCTACACCATCACCAACCTGGCCTGGAAGAGAGACGGGTCACGCCTTTGCGCTGTAACTCATTTCATTATTTAAGTCGGCCATCAACAGTAGCCGTGTACACTTAAATTAAAAACTCTAAACTTGTCTGTCTTCAAAACTTCAGCTTATTTCTCTTAAATCTGTCACAACTAAATAAAAATTAGAAACAAGTGCAGTTTAAAGGAAGAGGTGAAGGTCTGTCTGTTTTTGTCCTGACAGGGAACGCTGTGTGGAGGAGTGGAGCTGTTTGATTGCTGCCTGAGGAGAACTCTCTATAAGAACAAGTTTGAGATGACCTACGTTGGCCTGAGTCAGGTAGAAAACCGTCAGACAAAATGTCTCAGCTGCAAAATGAAACGGTTCAAAGCAAAGGGTCAGACTCTGTTTTTCCACCGCTGCCCGCGTGGAGTTGATTGGAAACCTAAAACAGTCCGTTAATTGTGCGAGTCAAGGAATTCAAATGAAATAAATCTGAGCTCAGCAAACAACCAAGTGCCTCAGATTTTTAATTGGGAACAAAAGGCAGTTAAAGGTTTGACAACAATCAAACCTTTTGTATCTTTTTTTGTATTTGTCAGATAAATACATCAAACATCTTTTTTAGTAGCCATCACTTGCAAGCTAAAAGCCAAGTACGCCTTCAGATACACAGAAAAACACAACATTATTTGATCCACAGCGAAAGAAGCTAAAAGAAAAAGAAACGGATGAGAACATGATTAGGACATTAGTTTGTTATTCTAATGAGACTCCAACTGAGGCTTGTTTCTAATTAGCACTTCGTCAGTAAACATGGTCTTTTCTGAAGAACCTAAACTTTCTGCGCTCATCAAGTCTGTGCAGAACTTACTGAACTTATTTAATAACAACTACTTATTTTGTAAAGCAACTATAAAAGTGTGATTTACGTTATTTTAATAAATGTTCGTTAATCTTTTCCTCAGGTGATTGTGAGGAACCTCTCCACAGGAACACGGGTGGTTCTGAAGTCCTACTACGGTTATGAGATAGAGGAGGTTAAGATCATGGGAAAAGATCGGTACCTGGTGGCTCACACCTCAGACACTCTGCTGCTCGGAGACCTGCTGAACAATAAACTAAGTGAGGTACTGACGAGGTCCAGGTTCTATTTTAACTGTTGTACTCGTCTGGATTATAAAGCTCAGGTCTTTATTTTCCATAATGGCTGTCTTGTCTGTTCTGAGATCATAGTTTTTTTTTACAGTGGACAGTTGTTGTAAAATGTTCCTCTCTCAGGTATCTTGGCCCGGTTCTGGAGGAAATGAGAAGTTCTTCTTTGAAAATGAAACTGTACGTACATGTCATATGTTTTCCACAATATCTTAGTTCAAAAAGCAGATTTTCTTTATCCTAAAGTTAAAAAAAACAAAACTCTTTTTAATAAATTCACATTAAACATAACTGATTTATGTTGTGTAAAACCGTTACTCTGTGCTTTTAGGTGTGCATGATTTTTAATGCCGGCGAGCTGAGTTTGGTCGAGTACAGCAACAACGAGATTCTGGGATCTGTCAGGACCGAGTTCATGAATCCTCACCTCATCAGGTCGGTGCAGGCGCTCATAAAGCACGTCGCAGCAGGAAGCTTAGTACAACAGGAAGCACACACACAGAGAATAATGTTTTTACAGGACTTAATGTAAAGGATCAGGAGTTTACCAGGCTGTAAAATTATTCTAACTCAAACCCAAGTCTCCAAAAACACACAACAGACTCTGTCATGTTATTTATTAGGGATGTCCCGATTAAAATCTTTTGTCCACAATTTCAATCTGAAGTCACACCTGACGTTCATTTTTTTTCAGCACAGAGCTGCAGATTACACACAATAAGTAGATAAAAATGATTAAAATCAATGCCGTCATGTCAACTATAGCTGCACCTTTGTAGCTATGTTGTTTTCATTTAGCAAAGCGTGTAAGAATTTAAATAAAAAGGGTTTTGTTTAAACAAAGACTCTATCCGGGCCTGGAGGCCAAGCATTAACACCAGCCAAACTCCAAACGTCTGCTGTAAAACGATTAGTGGTCAGATTTGGTCATCTACTCTGCAGATGATGATGAAAAGGTTTAAAGAGCTCCAAAAGAAGACAAAACCCTGTTTTCTCCACCACAGCAATGTGTTGGTCAACCAGAGCAATATAGTCCCACAGTCTGTAATCGTTTTTGGTTTATCGCTGTCCGGTGGAAACCTTTCTCTTGCCTTTAAGGTTTCCTCTAACGTTTGTTGTTTCTCCGCCTTTAGCTTCAGCAGTGAGCTAAGTGAACTCGATGTTTGGACTTCAAAGGTCCAAACTGCTTACAGTGCTTGTAGTTACAGCACTGCTCTAATTTATCTGTTGCCATGGGTTGGTTGGACTGCGGTCAGATCCTCTGATACCGATCAATAGAAAACATCTCGGTTCGGACCTCGATCCAATGATTGAGACCGGCTCGGGACATTCTTATTATTTATCCAACAAACAAAACCAAAATGGAAAAGCTGTTTGTAATAAACAGAACCTCAGTTAAAAGTTTCTGTATTGGCTTCACTTCTTTGACCAGGAGGAGTTTTAAATGTTCAAATGTGACATTTTGATAAATTAGTTCAAGCATTCAGTCGTCCTTCAATCTGTACAGAAAACATGCTGCTTCAAACACTTGTCTGACAAACACACATGGAAATAAAACTTTAATAGTTTAATCTTCATTTCACAGAAAACAGAAGAGCAGATTCGTTTTAAGTCTAAATTTTAGTTAGAAAAGCTTGTCAACGAATTAATTACTGTAAACACTTGTCACCTGTATTATTTAGGAAAAGCCACAAGTTAAAATAGATGCAGCTAAAGTGACTTTTTTTAGTTTAAGGTGTAAATTGTTGGCAATTAATTAAAATATTTCAGCGTACCTTTGCATTGCAACCTCCTTTTCTGTGTTTAACACAATCTTAAATAGAAATGAGCCAAAATCTTTGACAACTTTGCCTTAAAAGTGGTAAAAATAGCCCTTTATGCACTTTTACTTTACATATTTTGGATCTTGAAAGCAAATGAGCTTTCCTTTTTTTAATTTAAACAGAACTGTTAAAAAAAACTTATGCCTTTTTATAACTGTCTATTGTTGTTGCTCTCTCTTTTAAATGAGTCCTCGAGGCTCAATGGGATTTGCCTGTCTAAATAAAGGTTAAATGAAAAATGAACACCAGAATAAGTGATGTAATTCCATCTCTGTCCTTTAGATGGTAGTGTTGAGTCTTACATAAATCTAAAGGATCCAGACAGAACAGAAAGTTTGCTCATCAGCACACATCCACGTTGCCTTCAGAGCTGTCCGCAGTGTCAAAGCAACATCGTGAGCAGGACAAATGTGAAGTTACGATGGGCTGACGCTCGGTTTAATCTCTGTATGTTAAAACACACGCTGTTGGATTCAGTTTTAACCCACTGACTGCTGTACTGTTTGTGTGTCCGTGTGTGTAGTGTGCGACTAAATGAGAGGAAGCAGAGAGGAGTGGAAGACAACAAGAAGCTCGCCTATCTGATCGATATAAAGACCATCGCCATTGGTGAGAAAAAAGAAGTGCTGTGTGTTTTAAATTAGATCATTTATATGATTTTATATACATTTTTAAAAAAGTGGGCTCAGAGCTTCATATTCTACCATCTGTCTCAGGTAAAAATAGTCAGTTACTCTGTCCATTTGTTGGGTCTTCCTCCAGTTTGGATCATTAGATTTGTCTTTTCTCCAAAAACTCACAAAAAAACAAAACATTTCAGTCCTGGTCACTTTTGCTGATTGCACATGGGTTGTACTGTGTGTAGTGAACCAGATGACCTCAAATCTACCAGATGGACAGAGACTGT